CCAGCTCCCCTGAGTACCGAATCACTTCCGTCTTGCCACCAAAAGTCCAGCCTGCGAGGGGTGGAACAGATTCCCTCTGGGTTGCTACTTCCTCTGTCATCTGTCACCACTTCCTGTCTGTGAAGAGCAGGTAATGACAGCACGCAGGTGTTGCTAGCCGGGTGGTATCACTGCAAAGCGTCAGCACCACCAAAACAAACTATTTCCCCCAGAAACGTGAACGCTGTGATTAGTTTGTACATATAAGGGAAGAAGGGCAGGGAAAACATCTTCCTTAGTGACATCTCGCAAACATTTATTTTGAATTTAAAACATTAAATAATTTTTTTTCTGTCCCTCCATACCCCTTCATGGACTTTTTACAGTAGCTTTGATTTAAATTGAGCTATATATTTAAATGTTTTGTCTCCCATTACTTCACACTGCAGCGATCCCTATGGTGAGTTTTACTGTGTATAGATAGGTCAAAAGCTCCATTATAGTAAGCAAGACTTAAAGTGGTCCCTGAACCGAGCAAAAATGATTACATATCGGCCGTTACTCAGATATTTGTTCTGCTGCACTGAACATAGAAATTGATGTTCCATGAACCCTGGATATTGTTCTCATAGGGTCACGGTTTGGAATTTCATGTAAGTGATGAATGGCTGATGATTTACTGAGGAGCTTATGAGTAAGACATTGACTATATTGAGATTATAAGGGAATCAAGTTATAAAACTAATAACGTGATAAGGAATTTCTGAAGATTTTTCTTTTCATATTAGATGTTTTGAGTCAGAATGACCCATAACGTATAAGAAACCTCAGCCTGGTTGATGTGAACTGTCTTTGCTTCTCGGCAGTGTGTAAAACTACTGCCACGGTTTGTTATGACAAAGGTCACGGATAACGGATGATCTGCCTACAGTTCCCTAATGTGAGAACAAAGACTTTGTCAAAATATATTCCCGCAATAGAGTGAGCAGGGGATAAGTTACATTGTTTTGGGGATAGGTTTTCCAGACGGAGCGATGTGAAGACAGGCCCTGGCTGTGGATTTACTGGGACTCGTTCTAGTCCGTTAATCCTTGTATCTCTTTGACTCTTTCAGCAGGTTCCTCTGCTTGCAAGCCTTTCGGCCTCTGAAGTGGCTGCCCTTCCTGTGCTCACCAATAATTCTAGGTCTCTAAACCAGCTTGTTTCCACTCCTGGAATGGAGGGAAGCACTCCAGGTTGACATGATAAAAAGAAAATTATATGTACAACAAAAATAACAAAATAACATAGCAGGAAACATGATGATTTAACAGTAAAAGATACATCGTTTTTGGATATTTTATGCTGTGATAATACCCATATTTGAATCTAACTTAAAACAAATCTATTCTATTTTTTAAGGATAACAGGTATTCTGATTCTGATCTAAACAGGAACAAATTTAAAATAGTTAGTGTTAGGTAAGACATGTGGTTTAGTGAGAGGTGTCTCCACTTTTTCTCATGCTCTCAACAACCGAGCAATTTGTGCTAAAAAATGGCTCTTGTTCTGTATAAAATAATCCATATGTCTGCTGGTCTGGAGCGGAGATCCCATGCCGTTACCGGCCCATACGTTAGGACTTTTATGGGCCTCGGAAGGAGAATGATGAAACCGAATCAGGTCATGCCAATTGATAGACATTCTCCTCAGCTATCATTTGCACTGACACTCCTTTTATAGTGCATTGAAGAGTGGTGTCCCCCCCTTCCCCAGAAGCTGTCATCATATTGTTCCCTACAATATTTAACTTCCTCAAGAGATTGAGCTGTAATATAAGAAATTATCCCTATAATGCCCACTGACTGCTACAAACAGATGTGAAATGTCAGGGTAGGCCCAGACTGTAATCTTCCCCCCTATGGCCAAGATATCATGTTCTTCACCGGGGTCAGACGCAGAGTCTCCCTTTTCATATCACCACTCAGATTTGTCTGTAAGGTAGTGTTATATGGGCTGTGGAGAATTATTAGGCTCTGGAAAAAGCTTTTTATTTGAAACCTTGAATGCTTTACAAACCCACAAAATGCCTTAAAACTCATTTTAAAGTGACCCTACACATCATCAAAAATAATCCCACAGCACAGGGCAAAGAGCCTGCACAGCACATTTAGAATCAGGTTTAGGTTTAAAGAAGGGTTGCAAATCTTGTTCTATAGCTTGTTTATCTGTCGAGGAGATCTAGCTTACCAGCTAAGGGGAGTTAAGTTTCTCACTTTGCTGAGTGCAACTTTATCCAGTGATTCATCACTCCAGCTTATGTCACTCACTAGATAACATGGACAAGCCTCCGGGTCGCAGGCAGACAACTCTTCTTCAAGTGTTTCTGTTGAGATGTTTAAAATGTGACATCCAAAATGTTAAATTAGTCAAGTATTTGTTGATTTACGCTCTCTTTTTTAGTAAGATCTTTCTCAGTCAAACTATCTGCAGCTGAAGGTCATTCCCATCCCTGCTCTGCATAGTGAGCTTTGTTTGGAGTATTTATTCTGGAGTATCCCGCAAAGAGAAAGGGGATTGAAATATTCCAGTTTTGATACACCAGCTCCTTCTAGAATGAGTCAACCTCGCCTTTATAGAGGAATGACCCTTTGAGGCTGACACCCATCATTATAGGTTTAGCCCACTGGGCATGTGTTGGGGCCGGGGCCACCCTTATGCTGAGGTATTCTGCTGGGCCTTCAGCCCTGCAGCCGGGGGCCCTGGAGCAGGGAGAGGACAGACATGGTGGCCTGACTGATATTCATGTGGGCCAGGTAAATGTGCCCTACAGGCACAGGGCACTGGAGCGTTACGTTCCTGAGAACTGAGAGGGCGGAATCGAACTTGGAAGCAAGTGTTTAAAATACTCAGTCACAAGAAAAAGCTTTCAACATATTCAACATACTTCAGGGAAGACACTACAGAAGAATAGGGTAACATTTGTACCTTATCTCAAGGAAGAGCCTTGGCAGTTTAAGACATTACCTTGAAGACAATTATCTATTATTATGGGTGACCTGAAATGTTATGTTTAAATATGCAAACAAGGTGCTATCACATTATATATTTGATCATTTGAAAGATCTACGAAACAAAATTCTGAAACAATGCATAAAGCAAGGTAATACAAAAGTATTTTACTGTAGTTTGGATGTAGTATAAGTATCAAAAATATAGTTAAAGTAGAAGTTATAGTACTTTTACACAGAATAGTAAATTTCAGAGGAATTTATATTAAATTAAAGATGCATTTATATATGAGCAACACTCATGTTGCAGTTGGTAAGGTGGGCCTAATTTTAAATAAGTTTAAGTTGATTACATTTTGTATTAGAATTCTGAATCAGGAAAATAACTATTTACTAAAGCAAACTAATAAGTAAGGCAGAGTAAACACCACAATAACTGCCGTCATAATGTATTAAGAGTAAAGTATGCAATTCAAATACAGTATTTGAATGTATATATTTATAACTTATAGATGAAGTATTGAAAATACTAAAATACAAGTACAAGAGTAATTAAGTAAATGTACTTTACATTCCACAACTGCCTGTTTTACTAATATAATACTGAGTTATCGTGTCGTGACAATTCCACATGAAAGTGAAAAACTAGCTGATCTGAGTGCCAATAAAATGACAGTAATAAGAAGTAAAAGGCCTTTGAATGTGAAAGCCTTTACACTCTATTCACTGGACGTGATGAGGATTTCAACAGAAAACTTGTTACTGTGAGAACCTGCTGCTGTATGACAAAAATCCTCTTTGTCTGATCAGTGGCCCTGCTCCACAGATAATAGAGCAAAATGTGGCCTGAGGGAGATAATTTGTTCCCAGATCTTCAGATCCCAATATTTTCATTTGAGCCCAGGAGGGGATCTCTTGAATTGCCAGCTTCCATTGTGTTCCAACAAGGGGGCACGAAAGTCTTGTCAATTAATTTCTCCTTTATTCCCGACCACAGAGCGCCTGAGTGAATTCAATTATCAACCAATTAAGAGGTGTTTCCTTTTATTTACAAGCTTTGATTCCGTGCGTATCCATATTGTCTGGAAATAAGACAAGAGCGGGGTGTTAAATCACTTGAACATTTCCTCTGCGTGGGCTGCTAAATATTTTCTCCCCAATAGCAGGCTTTGTGTCCCCTGGGTCACAAGCGCAACAAAAGAACATTACATGCCGTTGAACTCTCTTGCAATTGTTCAGCGGATGCTCTTCCAAAAGTGCAATACAACAATACAACAAACAAAAACAAAAAACTCCCATTAACAGGATTCACGCACACTGCAAAGAGCCAGCTTTTTGCGTGACAAGACTTTGGGAATAGATGGAAACAGGTGCAATATTGAGCAATAGGTTAACATCAAACAGGCACAGTCTGAGTCAAATCCAGCTCCAGACAAAAAGCTGAACTCCTGAACCTTGTGGAAGTAAGTTAAAGGTCTTATTGCTTGATGAAATGGGGCTATTGGAAGTGACAAGCGGAAAATGTCTCTGTCTTACACACTTTAGTACTTACAGCCACTTGACTTCAGATTTCCTGACAGGCTCAGAGCATTTATAGGTTACAAATGTATTTAGGCCTACCAATTGGGAACAGTTTGAGAACTTTAATATGTGCCTTCTGTTTGGTCTCTTTAAGAGACATATAGCTCAATGGGTCTCCAAAATATTATAAACTGACTAATTAAAACTGTAAATCTAGAAAATAGTGGGTTTACATTGGTTTTGCTTCAGCTGAATATTATGTTGTACCAACAAACTCTTAGAAACAAGGATACCCTTCAGAAATAATACAATTACATTGGCCCTATACACCCTGTTAGATTCAATGGGAAAATATAATAGGAATATGAACGTTTTCATCAAGTTTGTGTTACAGTCTCAAAGCAGTGTTATCTCTCAGATTGTTTCATCTAACACTCGTGCAAATATGACACATAAGCCTTGAGTTAAAATAGAATGACTTTTATTCAAACATATACATGTGTAAAAAAACACACACAACACAATGCAGTCTAAAATACATTTCATATGGTCTTATGAAAAATAATTTCTGTACATATGTTTCTCCTTCTTATTCAAGACAGAGTTAGCCCAAGTGGGCAGCTACAATTAGAAAATATGGTAAAAAAAACATCCATGAGTTCAAGAATAGATTTCCATGGGCTGATTTGTAAATTGATTAATTATCTACATATAAACACGTGAGTTGCACTTGTATGAACAAACCAAAATGGAAAATTGACAGTTTGTTAAATTCCTTTTCAATACAGCGAAATAGATTTCCAGTTAGTAAAGGAAATTGTGTGGAGAAAAAAAAAGTTAATGTCCAGAGTTCAACATGAGGCATACTAAACCTGGAGTATAATAATCGCAGGCTATAAGAAATGTGAAGACAAACAGTGATAAATAACTTTTTTCGGTCACATCCCAATACTGACAGAACGACAGTCTACACCTCTGTTCCTTCCCGGCTGTATATGAGGTTATTAACACTAAAATGGTTGGACAGGCTCTGTACGGATGTGTAATAGTTGATTCTGTTGTTGTCAGAGTTCAGAGGAGCGATTAAAGTGGGCGAGTAGGCGCCGAGTCCTGACATGCCCTCTCTGCTCTGGGACAGATGCCCGGAGCCGTAGTCCCGCTCCCCGGCCCGTGAGCCCTCGCTGCTTCCCGCCAGTAGCGAGTTCACGCTGGACACGAAGTTGCTGTAACACGGGCTGTGCTCCGCGGAGGGAGACGGGGACGACTTGTGCTCCGTGGGGGAGGCCGGGGAACCGTGCAGGCTGGGCGGGGAAGAGCTCAGCAGGCTGGCGGTGTCGGAGAGCTTGTGCGGGCCGTCCTCTAACTTGACTGGGAGAGAGGTGCTGTCAGCCCCGCTAATGTCAGCTCTCCTTTTCCTCTTCCGTCTGAAGTTCCCGTTGTCGAACATCTTCTCACAGTTGGGGTCCAGGGTCCAGTAGTTTCCCTTACCTGTTTAATAAATAAAATGAGGGTTTAATGTGGATGTCCAACTTTTAGCTCACATTTCACCTGCGCACTGAAGTGATAATCTATGTTTTCACATTAAAATGTTCGTAACAATGACAATGAACTGGGATTATCCTAATTGTTTAAATACAAATTTAAAGAAATGTGTCAAGGGAAAAGACAGCATTATTACGGCAAAGCTACAAGAGACAAATATTGATAACATCTAATACAAAAATATCAAACATAAATATTTAATTTTGATTTACCGGGGTCATCTTCATCCCGTGCCACTTTTTTGAAACAGTCGTTCAGTGACAAATTGTGTCGGATTGAATTCTGCCAGCCAGCTTTGCTCTTCTTGTAGAAAGGGAAGTTTTCAGCCACATATTGATAGATCTGACTGAGAGTCAACTTTTTGTCTTGGTTGTTCTGTATGGCCATGGCGATCAGTGCTGAGTAGGAGTAAGGTGGTCTGACCATCTTGAAGAGTTCCTGCTGACTGGATATGGACAGCCAGCCCAGGTCTGCGCCACCAAACCCAGTGGGAGGCGGTAAGAACTGCCTCTGGTTTGAGCCGTATCCAGACTGAATATAGGACGAGCCGTTGTTCCCGGGGAGATACGGAGAGGAGTTGATGCTGGGTCCGTTCAGCCATAGGTACGGGTTCGTGGAGGGAGAGGTGTACTCTCCGAGGCCGTAGCTGGTGGGGTGCGTCGGCGGCCTCTGAGGGTGATGGTGGTGGAGGTTCTGTTGGTACACACCGTAGTTATCGCAGTACACGGCCATGTCCAGGATCTCCTGTGCGGTGTGGTGCTGAATAGGGCTGGTCTGCTGGTTAGATGGTTGGTGTCCAAAAGCGTTCATAATCCACTGCAACTAGATTCCCCAAACCTAAATGCGTCTGTATGTTTCTCCTTCAGGACTGAACTCATCCTCAGAGGGAGGAGTATTTATGCGCAGCCCCCGGAGACTCTACAGGTAGCCCATTGAAAACTTTTGGGTTGGTCACACCCCTTTTTTCTGTCCCGCTACAGCTCAGTTCTATTGACCCACATATCCCTATGAATGAGCACTGATACTGCCTTTAACTGCAGTGCTAAGCTTCATATTATTTACGGTTTATTTCCATTAAGGCACGTTAGTGACTTATAACAAGTGCCCGTGCATAATTACGCACTGGAGTTTTTGTTAGATATTTATTTACATTTTGATTTGTTCAAGCAGCAAGTACAAAGTGCAGCAATGGATCTATACCAATCAATAAATATGTCAAAATGGTGAGGGTCACGAAAGTAAATACTTTGTTTGAACTTTTATGGTTTTGAAATATAATTCGGATTTTTATTTTCTTAGGATGGAGTGATTTGTAAGTTAGCGGCAGTGAATCTGATTTTCTTTTACACATTTCAAGTCTATCTGGAACCAACAGATCACCATTAATCTCACCTAAATGTGTTTTAAGATATGTTTTCCAGTTCTCTGGATGAACATTAAATTATGGTTGTAACAGCTCGATAAAAATAGAACCAATATTATTCACATGTTGTTACGCACTGATAGTCATCATGTTGGGACTTGTTGACTTTCTTGAAGAACAGTGTCAAACCCAAACAGTGACGGCCCGCGTGAGTGTGTAAAAAGCCAGCTTCTCTTAAAATAAATTCGTTTGCAATAAACACTTCACAAGTGCCGAAGGTTTTGTCAACAAGTGACTCGTGGGAAAAAACACACCCAGAAGGCTCCAAGGAACTACGGCTCCTGCAATAATAACAGTGATAACTAATTATGTCATTCTATTGCATTATTGACCTCCGCAAATGTTACTGCAAATATAATTAAAAAAAATTAAAAAAATCACTGGCCTTCAACAGGTGTTTTCTAAATAAGAAGACATGAAAAACACTTGATAAGAACAAAAACGAATTCCGTAATTAAATTAGATGTAAAAGAAAGAACAACTCTTATGGTATAATACCTGTTGAACGTTTAAAATTACTTTACAAATACGACACTTGCATCTCTTAGCCGCGCTGATTCAACTTCAGAATCTACAATTGAATTAACATCAACAATGTATATAATATATATAGCCTCCAGGGAGGTTTTGAAAGAGCACATGCACATCATTATCTGCTCTGAAATAACGTGCACACTATTCTAATTTCATGTATGTGTTCACGGGGAACAATAGTCCTGACGTTGTCTCAGAGCTGACCTCTGGCAGGCACTGATCTGAGTTTCGATATGGATAGTGGAAGCCCATAATAGCCCATCGAAACTACAGACGACTCGCCTTATAAAAGTTTGACTTGTCTCCCACGATATTACGTTATTATAAGACGTCTGGAACTTATTACAGGATGGCCGTGAACTACTGTATGTAATAAATCATTTTTGAAATGTGCTGCCGTTTTAAAGGCACGTGTCTAACAGTTCTCCAGCATCAATTTAAAGGACAAAGTTCTTTAGGACTGGATGTAACATTTGTTTAGGGGTCTGTGGTCATCCAGAGACGCTTCGCAGGAAGCTGCCGGACCCCTGCACTAATCGGCACAACATTCCTCCTCTCCATGACCTTGATGTAATTGTTTGGCTCCGAGGTGTTGTCCCAACCACAGGCTGTACATCAGCGGCCAGCAATGGACTCTATGGGGGGGCAGTGGCATTTAACCCCCACATGAAAACAACACAACCTGTTAGGTATCCAACAACCAATGCAGCTAATTACTGCTGACTGGACATCTGAATCTCAAATGTAAAGGAATTTGGTGTTGCTGAGGTGTCATAAACCATATGTATTATATTTGTAATTATTACTATATATGAATAATTCTTTACTTTAAGTGCCGTGATGATTTGTTTATTATTTGGTATTATGGTACTTATCCCATCAATGTTGGGGTTTGATTAAGTGGCCATCAATCACAATCCCCCTATCTTTTCCCATCTTTCCTCCCAGATTAAGTTCAGAGATGTCAAATGTGGCTCATCATGGCAACCCCAAGCCCCCATGTCATTGTAAAGTAATAATTCAAACATGCTGACTGTGAGTGTGTGTGGAGGTGAGGGGGATGTCTATTGTTGCTCTGCCATGTCTGTCTTCATCCCCTGTTTCCTCAAGCTTTTTGAGGTCATGGGAGCTTTTCTCTGGGAGATCAAGTCAATCACGGCGGGGTCAGAGAGGCTGAGGCTCCGCAGGCCCCTTCAGGCTGAGACTAGAGACAACCATTACTGCAGGTAACAGGAGAATAATACACACTGCAAGTCAGCAAGTATCTGCATAACTTCTGGATTTACAGCTGAACCACAGAGGAATCAACGAGGCCTTAAGGGTTTATAGAGCATGTGTTCTGTGAAACCTTGGCTTTAATGCAGCTATATGAGTTAGATATCTGCTACTGTTTACTGCTTTGAAGTAATTACCAGACTATTAGATGCTCTTAGGCCAATACAATCATGAGAGATAAAGTCATCCATTCTGACTGTGTAAACAACTGTATCCCTTTATCTATCCAGGGGCTTGCCCTGCTCAGAGTCTCCCCCCAGTGGAGGAACCAAGCAAATCAGACAGCGGTGCTAATTAATGTACATGTGAGAATCTGGTCTGGCTCAATACAGAGTGCAGAAAGGCCATTCTCAGCAGGTCTTACTTAGATTGAAGACACTTAAAGTGTTGCGATGGGAAACTTGGCAGGCAGAGGAGCTGTCTGGCCTCTGAGCATCCTTCATTTTTACACACAATGGTCTTCATTCTTCAAGAAGGCAAAGCCATCTCCACTGCAAGACACATTTATAATAGGGTCTCTATAGCTGAGCTTTGGGCATTAGGAAAATGATGTTCAGCATTTTATACTCACATTTAGCCGTGGAGAAATGCCATTCCTACAAAATAATTATAGACAAGTAACAGAGTGATGATAATAATAGCACAGATCAATTTCAAGATCTCAGATGTGTGTCTGGTTTCTCTCCTATTAGTCATTCTGAGGTGCACTTTTACTGTCTGCTCCTTATTCAAAAATACATGAATATTAAAGTATTTTTCATTTAAAGTTTGACTACGAGGCAGCAGTTGCCCTATACCGCTGAAAAGAAAAATCCCGATGTATGTTCACTGTAGGCTTCAAGTTCCAATATTACCCTGGTTTAGGTTACATATTGAAGATTGGCTTCCAAACTACATATGGTCACAAAATCATGTTGTTCAGACACACCTTTACTTTAAGTTGAGGCATTATCTTCCTTCATCAGATAAAGCCACACGTCAGTCTGCAAAGGAAAGTCCAAACATCCAAGTGAAGTAAGAAAAATAAACTTTAAGTTTGCTTCGAATGCATTTTGATCAACAGCCTCAAACCATCATTAGCACATAAATATCTCGAGGTATCCGTCCACCTGCCAGGCCCAGGGGAAGGGAACCTGCTTCTTAGTAATTAGACGTTCCTCCAAGTTTAGTCCCCATCCGACCAATTACTGTTTGACCCTGACAGTCCATCTCCAGGAGTTAAGGAGGCAGCCCTGCAGACAGCACGCTGACGAGGGAAATAATAATAATTAATTTGACCTTAAATTGTTCAACCACAAGCCAAAGGTTTATGTTTCTTCACTTATTAGTCATCCAGGGTTGTGATGCATTGACTGTCTTAGCCAGATGAGGGCAGCATTGCTTCAAACATACTTCCTTCAGCATTACTCAACAAACCAACATTTTTACAACACTCATATATCAACCATGCAGTGCAGCTTCCTGGGATGCAACATATATCAAAATGCAGAATCTGATCAGTGTATTGATTTTAATCACGCTGAATTTATGAAAGGAGGCGTTAGAGTTTAAATTGAAAGTAATTAAATGTGCTCCGCTGTCTGGAAGTTATTGCAAAGGATTTTGCTTTTACAACTTTATATTTCACTGATAATAATTGTACTATTTGTTTAGCCTTTCTTCTTTAGAATAAAGCATTATATTAGAAGAATAAAACATATATTCTGCTGTGAAAAGGTTGACAAACGTCAGTGTATAATAATGCCACATGTAAGCATGTGTGCATAACAACTTATCAGAAATATAATAAAAAAGTCCTTTGCTCTCAGTAAAAAAGTCTTAGTATGAAAAATATCAATGTGCTTTATACTAGCACACAACATACTTCTGAAGCAGCTCAGAAATATAGACATGAGATCAAAAAGACCAAATTACAAAGATTTAATGAACTGGCTCAAATCAATATTCTGCTATTGGGACAGCCTGCCTGAAGCACTTCAAAGTTATTTCCGTGTGCACCGACACTGGCTGGGAACTCTGCTTCCTCGTCAAACCAGCTCTCCACCCCCCATCTCTAGGTATGTCTCCTAGCAACACGTCGCACCGACTGCCTGGGAAAACCCAGTGCTTCATAATAGCGTCAGCTAATATAGATCACCACCAGTTGGCTGTTCCCCTCAAACGAAGATAATAAGCCTGTGCACAGAATGTACATTTTGTGTTAAGATTTAAAATGCTAACTCACTTGTGCTTTATAGACGGAGTAGACTAGTCTCTGGGCTTGTAAGAGTCGCTCGTAACATCCACACTTGATAAGAGAGTGATGGAGTGTCTGTCTGGAGTGTGTAAAGTTGGAGGCAGAACAGAAAAACAGCATTATAGTGTTTCAATCAAAGGCTTGCAGGTGTTCATTATAAGCTCCTGCGACAGAGATAAGAAACATGTTCAAAGGACAGTTTGTTATCAGAAAAATCTCACCGATTAACAGTGTGAAGACATTTCAAACTTCACTTAAAGTAGCTAAAAATACAATTGTATAAGTATTTACTGCAGCTTATATAGTGTAAGGCTGCAACAAATGATTACTCTCACCAGAAAGAGCAAATCCAAGGCTGGATCATCATATGTCAAGTACCA